TTTTTTTTTTTTTTTTTTTTGTTAAAATTTTGGGATAAGAAAATCTGTGGAAGTTGAAATTAGAATTTCTGACTTGTGAAAGATCAAGATCTTATATAGATTGCTCAAGTTGACTGAAACTTGAATCACTATTCTCATTCAGGTACAGGGTGTAGTTCAAGATAAAACTGGAAGGACGGTGGCTACATTATTTGGAAAATGGGATGAAAGTATGCATTATGTGAAGGGGGACTGTTCTCATAAGGGAAAAGGATTTGATTCTTTATCTGAAGCCCACCTACTCTGGAAACGAAGCAAGGCACCAAAATTTTCTACTAGATATAACTTCACGCGCTTTGCTATGACTTTGAATGAGCTGACACCAGGCTTGAAGGTAATCCTTTTGATTACTTTATTTTAGTTTCCTACTAGATTTTCATTTTTTGTTTGGTCGTAGGACGTGGCTGCATAAGATAATCTATCCGCTTTAGTTGCAATGTTGCAACCTGATGGATGAGATGATAGTTTATAATTTTTTCCCCCTCTTTTCTTTCTGTTTTCATTAAAAATTTTAGATGTAATGATACGCCACTTGCAACGTATTCTGGGGTCAACTTGTTTCTTATGTTACTTCAATATGCAGGAAAAGTTACCTCCTACAGATTCAAGGCTCAGACCTGATCAAAGGTGTCTAGAAAATGGAGAGTACGAAATGGCTAACTCAGAGAAGTTGCGATTGGAGCAGCGCCAGCGGCAGGTAGACTATACTTCGATGTCACATATTTGGTCCTTTTTCAGGAGTGTTTGTACAACGCATATTCATCTTATTCTTAAGCTCCTAATTTAATATACCAAGCTATATGCATTTTTCGAACTTGAGGACTTTGAATTATTCCAACGATAAATAAAACACACACTCAAATTAATAATTTGTTCTTAAGTTTGTGCTAAAATGGCTTGAAACCAGTTGTGACCAGAATAATCAGCAATATGGATCCGCAAAATTGTAGAATTGATGGAAATGGACAGCTGACTTTTAGATATCAATTTTTTTTTTAAAAAACCTCGTTTACTTTATTATATTTTTTTCTCTTGTGATCTACTATCTGAAGACATATTTGCATTCCTAGTCAAAATCTTTAATTTATTTATTCTATTTGGGTGAGATTTCAGAAGTTGTTAGATCAATAGAATAGCTTATATTATTTCATTTGGTTTTCAGGCTCGGAAGATGCAAGAGCGAGGTTGGAAACCAAGGTGGTTTGCCAAGGAGAAGGGAAGTGATACTTATCGCTACATTGGTGGGTACTGGGAGGCCAGAGAGCAAGGGAAATGGGATTCATGCCCTGATATATTCGGTCAGATCCCTACTGATCCACAACTCGAGTGAGTTGAATAGTTTTTTTCTTTTGATGTTTTTTTTTTAATTCTTTTTTCACATATATTTACCGGATGAGTAGCCAATAGCGTGCTCATTTGAGTAGTTATACATAGTATAGCAACTGCCACTGTCGATGTGGTTGCAAAGTAAATTAGATTGAAGATGCTGGGCAGTCAAAACGAAGTTAGCAAAGGAAAAAAAGAAAAAAGGAAAAGAAAAAAAAAAAAAAAAAAAAAAAAAAAAAAAAAAAAAAAAAAAAAAAAAAAAAAAAAAAAAAAAAAAAAAAAAAAAAAAAAAAAAAAAAAAAAGTGAAAGCAGCCATAGTTTCTCAAAGATTATCTGGCCGGCATCTCATGTGTTCTTCATAGATCATTTTTCCTTGCATTAGGTGGAAACATGTCTCATTCGCAGCAAATTGTTGAGAGAAAGCATTTCTAGAATTATTCGGATATATATATCCTAAATGACTATGATCATCATCTTGCTGATTTCTACCCAGCAGGTTTCTCAATAACGTGTCTTTTATTTACTTATATTCATTCACCCTACCAGTTGAAAGTTCTTAACCATATCCAGTGGGAAAATTGATGTCACAAATTTGGCCCCATTTGGAGAATTTTCAGGTACAAATGTTGAAAACTTTCCCCCATTTACTCTGTTTTGGTTTCTAAATCCTTGGTATTAGGAAGATAGTGTATGTTCTGAATTATTCTGTCAAATAATGTGAAACCGTGGGATACTCCCTGAAAATGGAAAACGACCTGTTAAATGCTCTGCCTCGAAGCGATGCAGGCATTTCCAAGTTAGCCAACTGAAGTCCGAAGGGACACTTTGAATAGATAGATGGATTGTGAAATATGCACACACATCACCATCCTGCTGTTCCTTTTAATTATATAATATTGGACGCCCAGAACCATCCTTTCCTCCTTATGCCCTTCTTTCTTTACATTAATTGGTTGATTTTTTCTCTACTTCCTTTAGTGACGTCTGAACCCAAAACAACTCCAGGATCTGTAGCTATCTGCCCCTCATGTGGATCACTCAATGCCTTCTCAAAACCCACCTGAAACTATATATTAAATAAGCCATTTCGTCTCCTTCCTCCAACACCTTTTACTCACTTTGCGTTATAATTATCACTCTAGTTGTTTCTTACTTTTTGAGTTTTGACTAATTTGTTTCACTAACAAAAGAGAACAACAGCTACATTGACATTAGGTTCTTTTCTAATTTTAGTTCCTAAATTCCTAATTCTTTCTACTTTGTCCACTTAACAAGTTGTAAAATGTTTTCGCCTTTTGGGTGTTTAACGTTATGTCCAGTAGATATCTATGCAAACTTTCCACTGACTTTCATATTTTAATGCTTGTGTGACATGTTTCAAACATTTGATGACATAGATGATAAACAATAACGATCAAAATAGACACAAATTATAAGTGAAAATGGATATTAAAATCTTTATCCAAGTGTCGAGACTAAATAGGAAAAGTCTTCAAATTTTAGACTATACTCAGCATTTTTTTTTTTTTTTTGAGTACTACAAATGAGGGCCCTCAACATCAGTAAAGGTAGTACAAGTTGTGGTCACCAAATTAAAATAATATTAACAATTTTAACTCCAACGTGGCCTCCAAACTCTTCTTTATTAAAAAAAAAGAAAAAAAAAATCCAAATTTCATCGTTGAGCTTCATAAAGCACAAAAAGGGACATTTGAGACAAGAGCATTAGATCATCAAGTTTGGCCTTCTGAGCTAATCCTTTATAATATCACCATCATATTCTACTCCTTATCTTGCTTGCTTTACTATTTATTCTAACAAATTGAAACATTAGAATAATATCCACTTCGCCTTCAAATTACATATTAAAAGTAGATGAACTCAAGCAACACGTAAGATTACAAGATTCGATCCCGAACCCGTAACATTTTAGACTTGTGTAAACTAATTGAAATAGGTTCAGAAAAAGTGGGGCCTTGGAGGGAAGGACATGAGATGCATTAAGAGTTGAATAATGTTGTTTGGGAGCAGAGGGTTTTGATTGTACCATGGTGAGGGGTGAATTAATGGGTGGATGTGACCACTCATTAGGCCTTCTTTTTTTATTTCTCATTTCCAGATGTGGATCCCATTCAGATCCACAATCATCCCCAATCATCCCCAATCCTTCCCACTCTTCCATAACTTTACCCTTTTTTTTTCCCCCAAAATTTTCTCTCAATTCTCCAAATATTCAACTATTGAGTATATAACTCGTCTACCTTAATCTAATACTATTGAGATAATTACGATCCTCATTTATTGTTTGGGATTCGAGAACTTTATGCACATGACTAAGAATGATTTCATCCGCTTAAAGAGTTGAAATTTGTATAATCAGTCAAAGATGATAAGGCCTGCTATAACTTTTTGTACAATATGCACTTGCTAGATCTCTCCTCTCTTACCTTTCCGTTATAGTCTTTTGTGTTCAAGTTCGGTCAAGAATGACAAAAAAAAAAAAAAAGATACATTCTATTAGTCAAAAGCATTAGGTAACTAAAAAACCAATCTCCCTATATTTTTATAAGAAAATGATATTATTAAATTCAGACGAATTTTACTCTCGATTCCACATCCAAAATCTAATCTATTCTCGTAAGACATTATTTGTTCAAAAAGACAATTCCTTGTTATTTATCCACATAAGTGATCGAGCGATGTACTTTTGGGTAGGGTTTAGATTAAAAAGAGGGATATGTCCTCTCATTTTGTCTCTCTCTCACAAAACATTAGCACATCAAAAAAAAAGAAGAAAGCAATCCTGAAGGCCTACAAATTTTGCTCACATGCAAGCCATGGCCCTCTCACCCATTTCAACTCACCGACACTCCCAAATCAAATACTCACTTTTTTCCCCATTTCATTCAAACATCTCTTCTTTTTCATTCCAAAACTCACTCAAATGTGTTTGTGGAAATTAGGGTTCCTTTCAAACAAATTAAACTTCCCTTTTTCATCTCTAAATTCATACATTCCCTTTTTATGTCTTTTTAGATGCAGATTTCATGTCGTATTAATAACCTACTCATGAAAATATGTATGCATATCGGTTAGATATAGAAATATAATAAATGTCAATTCTTTTAAAAAAATTAGACGACAAATAGTTCATATCTGGTTTGATAATCATTAAACGAAAATAATTGTTTTTAACAGCGCCTTACGTTAATAACTATTTGACTTTTTTTTAAAAAAATAATTTTAATAATAAAATTTTGTGAGAAAAAAAAACATAACAAGTTAGTTACAAAAAAGAAAATAATAAATAAATAAATAATTGATTTTATTTATTTGGGAAGGACGTTTGAGCAGCAATAGCACGTGGTTGGCGCGTGCGTGTGATCAGGTGTTTCGCATACAAAGAAGGTAAAGTTGGAACCGGGACACGTGGAGAGCCGTGTGTGATCTGGTGTTTCGCATACAAAGAAGGTAAAGTTGGAACCGGGACACGTGGAGGGCCAAGTGACGCCTCGTTAACAATGTTGGGGGAAGGGAACAGTTGGCAGCGTCCCATACCTGTCTAGCTGTTACAAAAAAAAAAAAAAAAAAAAAAAAAAAAAAAAAAAAAAAAAAAAAAAAAAAAAA